GGCTTGGGATGGGGAGGGGGATGGGGCTTGGGATGGGGATGGTGGTGGGGATGGTGGTGTCGATGAGGCTGGGGACGAAGACCGATGAGAATGGACCGCCGACTCGGACTAAAGGGAAGTCGACATTGCGCGCTGGACCGTGCTTGACACACAACGCTGCATATAATCACATCTGTAGCCCGACACCCTTCCTTCCCCGCCCGAGATCGACCTCTCTCACGCGCTTTATCGCTGGGCTCGATCCTCCGCACCCCGAACCTTCCTCCGAGTCGTGCGTACAGGCCCGTCATGTATCGTAGTCTCGCAGAGGCAGAGGCAGAGGTGTAGAGCTACACAGTCACGCACTGTTCAGCTTTTAGATCGGCATTGAATGTGGAAGTCGATGTGCAACTGGATAATTTTGGATTACGATACGCGTCGTGTGCGCAGGATAGATATATGCTCGGTATAAAGCGGATGAGCGTGCTCGTGTGAAGACGGAGCGACTCCAGCGGCCTGTCTACAGTACAGACGCTCGCCATCCATTGGTGGCGGACTGGCTGACTTAGGGTTAGGGTTAGGCCACCTTAGTTTCAGTCCCTTCTTACTATCCACGAGAGTATTTTGACCTCACACACTACCCAGGCTTTGTTTGGTAACACCCTGAGGCTCCTTATGCACAGCGTCTCTGGCCAATGCCGGCTCACACGGCTTGTGGGTCTTTGATCACAGGCATGAATTGAACGGGGATAAAGGCGCATCGGCCAGTGCACCACCGACAACAAGAATCCGCTTAACATACACACACGCCTTCTGTTTTGTGTGCGTCGCCTTGCCGACAGCATAGCGACTCTTGTTCGCGGAGGGCTGTTGTTATCGAACACATAAAACGCCGAATAACAAATGGGGGGTCTTCCAACTTTCCAGAGTCCGGACATATTACCCTCGCACATCTCCCTCCCTCTCTCATATATACCCAGTCTCTTATGTCATCTCAGTACGTCTTGAGTGTACCCAGCCTCGGAACACGTTCCTGATAACTTCTTCCAGCTCGACTACCCCCGAGCCGTCCAGCGCTGGCGCAGACAGCAAACTCCTTGCACCGGTGCTCGTTGACGCCGCGGTCGTCGACAACTTGAATGAAGGCGCGCCAGAGGCGAAGCAGAACTTGGCGCTGGTCTTATATAACCCTCAGTTCCCCGCCGTGCGCGAGGAAGAACGAACGTTGGCCGTGGATAGCGAGTCTGTTCTTACCGACAGCAGTCTTAGAGACAGCGAGTCTATCATCGCCGGCGGTAGCGGCAGTGGCAACCTGGCGCCCACAGTGACTAGAACTGATCTGCAGTCTGACCGACGCCGACCTCGCGCAAGCTAGGGCCACGGTGCCGGGCGTGGTAAAGACCGCTGCATTCGCTTCCGACTCGGCCCCGAAGCTGACTAGTGCTTGACGCGCAGGTCCGAGAGCACTGGCTGGACAGAATCGTATTCTTCATCCCGCGGCTGTTCGTCGACATACCCGCATCCGACCTCTGAATCCAAATGCTCGTCGTCCTCCTCACCCACGCGCACGCCTTCAACACGCACCACAACGGCCTTTCTGACCGCGCACAACCAAAAAAGACTTCGGGCCGTCGTGCACGGACGCCCTGGCGCTGCAGAGGGCCGCGATGGAGCGGGCTCTCCGTCTCGCCACGGTCGGCGTGCTCCGGCTTCGGCCAAAGTCGCGTGCGGGCGGATCGTCGGATATATGCAGGACGAGCTTGCGTTGGCGCGGCTCGAGGCGGGCGTTCTGCAGCTCCGCGAGGAGGCGCGCCGGACGTTTGAGAGGGCCGGGATCCGGCTAGTCGGACTGGGACGAGGAGGAACGGCGCGGCGCCTCGAAAGCTGGGCCCAGATGGTGGGCTTTCTGGCATAGGAAAGGAGCGGCAAGGGTATGATAGAGCGCTTCTAACATAACATGCATTCGTGTACCATAGTTCTACGATGTAATGTCTGTGAAGTCTTCAGCCGGGTGGTATCGGGAAAGCGGTCTGGGAGTAGTGCGTTGGGAAATCGGGAACGGAGTTGAGACGGAAAGATGAGATGGTGGTCGAGAGCACGTTGACAGAAGCGCGCGGCGTTGGGATTACGTATATCTTTGAAATCTGATGCGGCGTGTGGCGCTTCCGAATCCAAGCATTGACATTGATGACACGCACAGAGCGTCTCCGAGTCCAGCACTGCAACGCCCTCATGCGTAAGTATACACTCAGCACAACTCTGGTCAATCATTCAGTCAGACGTCGTGTCGGACGTTGTACGGTTCCGACCGCCCCATCCCCATCCCCCGCCAATGAGCGCGCGATGAGTCTCGCTTCATAAGATTTCCAAAAAAATCAACACCCTACATGACCGGCTCAACGCCCAGCACGACCTCACACCTCTCGACATCCGGCAGCCCCTCCACGCCCGGCCCCGGCCAATCGAGCGCCGCGACGCCTCCCTCTCCCTTCCCTCTCACCTCTCCCTCACCGCTTTCCTCTCCCTCACCAACTTCCGGCTGCGATTCAGAAGACCACACGCGATCGAAGCGCGGCCACGTCCAGCCGTGCGTGGCAGAGAGTGTGGAGGTGAAGTTGCGTACGGAGAGGTAGGCGCGCGAGGGATTGGGGGTGCCGGTGCGGGCGAAGGCGCCCCAGAGGTCCTGTTCGTTTTGTGTATCAGCTTGAGGGTGAGGGTGTATGGAGAGTGATGCGTGATGAATGCGTACTTGGATGAGGTTTGTGAATGGTACATCCTTATCCGAGCGCGGCGGGAGATCGAAGAAGTTGAACGTCCCGAACGTCTGCATAACGACTCAAGTCAGTTTTCTGCAGCTGGACGTCGACACATTCGATCAGTCGGAGCGCACCTCAAAGAGCTCGCCCGAGTGGCACTTGTAGTAAGGCGTGCCTTCCTCGCCTACGGGGAACGTGCACAGATCGAACGGGTCGAAGAACGGGAGACCATATGCGCGTTTGATGCTATAGATGTACCTGTGCAAAGCCTCAGTACTCTTGCGCCGAATAGTGGCCATGGAAGTGAGGCGTACATCTTGGGGAAGACCTTGTGCGTAGCCGCAGCGCCCGTCCACGCCACACCATCGCACGTCAAAAAGTGGTCCGTATCGACGCTCTGCGACGCATTGTCTACAGCATCCCGCAGTTCAGTATTCAGCCTCGCTGTGATCGGATCAGTGGGAAGACTCACACGGACTAAACTCCTCGCTCGTGTTCCACAGCCCGCTGGCGAGCACCGCGTCTGCGAGCGGTTGCGAGATAGTGAAGCTCTTGACCAATGTATTGAGGGCCTCTGGGAACGACGAGATGTTCGGGGAGATGACGGTGCCCATGAGCCTGCGAAGCACAGATCTGAGCTCAGCGCTTATGATCAAAGCGAGATTAGATAGCACGCACGACTGTCCTTCGTCCGGCATGAAGCCCGCCATGTACTGCACCGCATTTACACTATCCTTCTCCCCTGAACGCGCCCCGCACCGTTAGCAGCTACACTGCACGACCAACAGATAGCGGACTGCGACGAACCCGGCCCAAGAGCAAGTTGCGCGAGAGCGAAATCCGGCACAAAATCCCCATCGACGACGCTCGGCCAATTGCCCGCGCTCTGCGTGATGTTGAGCAGAACCTGCGCGTCGAGGGTTCGTAAACACGCAAGAAGGGCTGCCCCGGACGTGGAAGGGCAGAGCGCGGACAGGGGCGGCACTATGCATGGGCTCGCATCAGCTTTTGATGGATGACTGTATAGATGATGAGATGTTAGGAACACGCACGAGCCTCGTCCTCTACGACGCTCTGCGCCGCGACGTTGCCCGCTCCGCCCGAGTGCACGATCGCACGCGCGAAGAGCCCTCGGGCGCGGGGAGACTTGATAAGGTCGATCGTGCTCCATCCACCGGCGCTCTATGAAAACGCGCGTCAGCCTCGCCGGGACGAGACGAAGGGGCGAGTGTGTACTGAGTCTACGCGCACCTGTCCGAAAACCGTAACCCTGCTCCTATCCCCTCCAAACGCCTCGATATGCCTCTGCACCCACTCCAGCGCGACGATCTTGTCGCTCAGAGCGAAGTTGCCGCGCACGAGGTTGTCCGTCGCATTCGGCAGAGCAAGATATCCTTGAGTGTGTCATTCAGACTTCAGTGCATGTTGTGAAAGGGATGAGGAGCGTGTATGGACGGACCGAAGATGTTCAAGCGGTAGTTGATCGTCACGATGACCGCGTCCGCGCGCTGGGATAACGCGCCGCCGTCGAAGGTGCTGTCGCTGCCGGCGCCGTTGATATTGTCTATACATGGCCCGCGTTAGCATTAGTATTAGAAGAACATCCAAGTAGTGAGACGTCACGCGCCGCCACCGTGAATCCAGAGCATAACCGGCTTGAGCTCTTTCTTTCCCGACGCGCCTTCATCGGGTACGTGTGGCGTGAAGACATTCAGGTGCAAGCTACCACGGCACGCCCTATCAGCGTATTTGCGAGAAACATGAGCTAGATACGACGTACCAGTCTTCATCGTTCCCCCACGGATTCAACCCGCTCGCGTTCCCCGCGAACGAGCCGAACTGCAAACACGCCGCTCTAACTTCCAACACCAATATCCCATCAGCTCTCCATCCCTACTCCCGTCAAAAGGTAGCCACTCACAAACAGTCGCGTCCACCTCAACACCTTCCTCAGCCTTCTCAGCATTCGCGAATCTCCGCTCGCCAACCGGCGGCAACGCATATGGAATACCCATGAACCTGAACCCGACGTGATCGCGCAGGCCGACGAACGTCGTGTGGTTAGCTGAGAATACTGTCGTGCGGGGGTAATCCGCGAAGTCCGTGAAGATGGCCGTGGTGTACGGCGCGGTATTCGTGCAGAGCACCGCCGCTTCGCCGTTCTCGCTTTTGCGCGAGGAGCAGCCGGAGTGGACGACTTCGGCTGAGGCGATTGTACCGAGTGACGCCTGGTAGGCCAGCTCGTGCTCGAACGCGGGAAGAGTGGAGCATGGGAGGAGCGTCTCGTTCAGCGCTGCACACGCAGAGTCTGGTGACGCATGCTTCGGCAACGACGAGAGCAGTATCGCGGAGGGCGCGGATGCGCGCGTCGTCCAGTCGCCCGAGCTGGCGAAGAGCACCGTCTGGCTGACGCTCGCACGCGCGCCGACCGCGAGTAGCGCCAGCGCCGCCATTATTGACGAGCGTATCATGACCAATGAAATGGACGGAGCGGAAGGGCGCGTCGAGAAGCACGAGTGCGACGATTACATATATGCGTCGCGGTCGGTGCGCGGTCAGCTGAGGCGTGCAGGTGGACGGTGATATATCGCATCGAGGGGCGGATGTGGGAGGCTGAGTTCGGAGAAACATGTTTGCAGAGCCAGATAGAAGACGAGAAGGGGTGTTATGGAGTCAGAAGGTCGTGACGCTTCGAGAGGGCGAAGGAGAGGGACTCCGTTTGTCCGTGTTGGGGAGGGTTATGCGGGACTCTGGGTTGTAGGGAGGGGCGTGCGTGGGCTCGGACGGGATGTATAACTGGTATAAGCATGGGCTCGTTCATTCAGTTCGATGCATGGTTCGCCCTTCATGAGGGTTAGAAGCAAGACGCGCACGAGCAGGCGCGAACGGGCGCGCGACACGAAGTATCCGCCCCGGCGCTCGCGCGCTCTAGCCTCAAGGGCTGTGCATTGACGAGCATCACGCATATAGGCAGATAATATGTATCCAGGTAATCAGTATCGAGCAGCCACACAACATGCAATGAAGATAGAGAGATAGAGGGATATGAATGATAGTCGGTATGCAAATGCAAGCAACGATGGCAAAAATGGCAAACTCCAAAAGAAAACACGAGAATATCCATGACCGAATCAATAAGCAAGAACTCTAAGTATGATAACAATGAAGTTGAAGTAGTAGTGAGCGAGTGTGATTGTGTATGTATGAGGAGGGATATAAACAGGTATTCAAAAACCGAGATCCAAAAAGACGCATATAGACACGTAAAACGGTCTGTGTGAGGTCTACTCCTCCTCCGGCTCGTCCTCCTCCTCGACGACAGCCGGCTGCGCTCTAAACCCACCCGCCTTCCCCACCGGCCCCCTCCTTCGACTCTCAGGCGCAGGATCAAGCATAACGTCCTTCTCCCTCCTCCCCCCACCCATCCCCATCC